TGGGCGGTAGGCCATCGGGGATAGGAGGGATAGGTTCAACGCCGTCCTTGTCACTAGCGCTAGCGAACCGTAAGCTCGTACGTTTAGGTGTATTATCACTACTAGGAGTCCTCGTCTTGAATATAGAAGGATCAAAGTTGAGCCCCGACATGTCAATATTGGGCAGACCATCGGCGCCTACTTGAGATGCATTCGACATGCTGAACCGCATTTCTTTCCGACTCGAGGTTCCACTATTACTCGCTCCAGCTCCGAATGGTGCCGCAAAGGCGGCAGGTACGCTCGAGCGCTTGTTTGCCAACTCTTTTGCAAATGCCGAATTATTGTTCAACAAGTCAGTTTGATGGGATAATAATGCAGATGATCCAGGGGTTCGCCAGGGACTAACGCTCTCCATAGGGGTGAGATAAATACTTTCTCGTCCATTCGTACTAAAGCTCCAGGATGAGTTTCTCCTCTCCCGTTCGGCATCAGCGTCGTTGGATCTCTCTGCTCCAACACCTCCACCTTCAGAAGAGCGAACAGGGCGGGGGATGGGTTGCATCTGACTATGTCGCCTCTCCAAAGCTTTGGCGACATCCTTGGGCGAGAGGAAAACGGATCCACGAGCGTCAAAGTATACCGAGTCGTCTGAATCGCTCGCGCTTCCATCTTCTTGTTCACCCTCGTCGTCTTTACTCCGTCGTCGAGCCTTGCCTTTGCCCTTGTCTTTGGAGGGTGCAGCCTCCACCACAACATCTTCATTTGTAGATGCAGTCGGAGGCTCGGTAGGTGGCGAGGGTTCAGGCCGAACTGTATCGATGCTCGCCATACTATCCATGGACAGCACCGAGTCAATAGACGGCCGACTCATCGGCATCTCTTCCTCATCGGTATCTTCATCGTCATCATCATCACCGTCTTCATAATCATCCGCTTCTGGATCACCCGTCTCCGTCTCACCCATAACATTGAGACTCGGCATGGCATTCAACTTGACAGACATTGATCTCCTCATCCTACTCCCCTCGTCACGGTCTGCGTTTCCGTCTGTAGTGGCGCGACGGGTAGGAGCAGGAGGTGTCGTTACGGAGCGCGTATGGGATGACATTGAAAAGCCGGATAGTCGTTGTCGGATACCCGAAGGAGACGAATCGCTGGGAGGCGAGTTGTTGGAAGGTGAATGCTTGGATGTGGTAATGGAGGGGACGGGTGGAATGTCTGTATTGGGGAGTGGGGGGAGTGGCCAGATTGGACGGCTCATAACGATAGAAGGGGTGAGACGTAGGGAAAGGCCAGGGGAGGGTGGTGATTTACTTTTGGATGTGTATGGGGATGGAGTGGTAGCAGATCGTAAATGAGCAGATTGGAGGGGTGAGGAAGGTGAACACTTCATTTGGGTAGGGGAGGCGGGAATGTTTGATGATGTTGGATTCATGGTAGCCGTTGGAACACCAGTAGAATTGGATCTCGAGGTGATGACGGGTGTGTTTTCGTTGGTGAGACGAGGTGGAATGGGGATGGAAAGATTGGGTTTGGGAGGGCGAGTTCGTATAGTAGAGTTTGTGGTAGTATGGTTAGAGTTGGACGAGTCGTGCGAGTCGTTGGATAATGTCGTGATACTCTCAGACCGACGTTGATGCAGAGACAGAGGAGGTTCATTCGTAGGTAGGGTGTTGTTGGCTGGTGGGGTGGGGTTGATCTCTGAAGAATTGGGTGTAGTTGTAAGAGCGACAGGTGGTGTGGCTACGGCTCCTCTGGCACCCTTTGGAGGTAAACCGCCAACCCCTGTGCCTTCAACCGCAAGCATCGGTCTCGAATCCAAACTTCTCCGTATGCTCTCCGGCAAACCATCAATCACTCTCTCAGCACCTAGTCCCGACAACGGTAAAGGTATCGACCGCTGAAGAGGAAGTCCATCCTGCAACGAACTCCCTCGGCTCCCATTCCTCCCATCCACATCCTCCTCTTCCTCCACTTCCAAACTCAACACAGGCGTCTCCGAATCCTTTTCGAGGCTCGTCGGTCTTACACCCACAATAACCGTCTGCACAGTCTGCACCATCGCAGCCCCCGTCGAATTGATCGACGTAGGTGATAGTTGAGACCCTACTTTGAGTCCTGACTTTGTAAACAACTTGAGCGCGTCCATCGAACGGGCATGTCGGGACCGGTAAAAGAATCCACCACCACTGCCTCTCAGAGCAGCATTGGGATCCCCGGTGGTCGGTCGTTCATTATTATTATTGTTGTTGTTATTGGTTGGCGTTTGCATCGAGCTCGGCACCCTTCCGACCACGGTCGACTCGCTATCTCGTCTAAAGGACGCAACAGCGCTAACTGTGCTATTATTCCTCACACGCCCTCCAAGTAGAATAGACGTGCTCTTTCGCCCATTGACGAGAGGTGAGGAAGGTTGCGAGTTGAGAGTGGGTTCGCTATTGTCTTTGAGGATCCCAAACACCCGTTTGATCCCTCGTGTAGCCTTGAGCGAGAACGTGCTGGACCGATTCGAGCGTGTCGAGCTGGCATTATCCTTGCCCTGTGTGTTGTTCTGGTCGGTTGGGCTGAGGTTCGTGTAGGAGGAAGGAGGCGGTTGCTGGTGCGATGTTGGGCCGCTCGATTGTCGTATTCGTGAAGCCATTAGTCGGCTTTATTTATCTAGAATTTAGGAGGTCGTAGTTGGAGAATGAAAGAGGACTGGCCCCTCGTCTTTGTGGAGTGGCCTATCACTGCCGCCCAGTGTAGCCTTCAGCTCACACACTCTCCCCGATAGAATAGGTGAGAAATAGACGATGCACTGGTGTATAGTACGAGGAGGTGAGCCGAACCGTACAAGGGTCGTCCTTTAGGACTGTGAGACCTCTGAGCACAGCTGGCAGAATAGAGTGGGCAAATCACAGGAAAAAGAGAGCGTCTATCTATAAAGTCCGGAATAGAAGTATATCAGCGAATAAACATTTCAAACTGTAAGAGCCAAGAAAAAAAGCTGGGGATTGCAGTGACCCGTGGAGCCAATAGGTTGCTGCACTTTGGCTCACCTTCCTGAAGCCCTCCCTTCCGACACTTCGACGATTTGGGAAAAAGGGATCTTGCGACTATAGGATTAGGGGCTCCTATAACTTGGTTTTTGTCAGCTCGTTTTGCGCACGAGGCAGGGTTTTAGAGAGAATGGAGTTGGGAGGAAGAGAATGGTTTTGGCCGCGATTATAGAATAAAAGGGGGGAATAGGCCACACCCACAGGCGCGCATGCACCCCGGGTTATGGAGAGGACAAAAACAGAACTGAGCGTGTGGAGAGCGAGCGTCGATGACGAAAGTGTCGTATATTTAGACGATGAAGTAAGGGTGAGCGTATCTCATCCACAAGTCTGGTGCACAAACAAAAAGTCCCCGTTTGGAGCTGATACGCAAACGACGACGCGCCTTGCTACTCACCAAAGCAATCGGGAGATCTCCTCGGACGACCTGCGCGACTATCGTCTCGAATATGTGATATATTTTATCACGAGTGAGGTAGATTGTGGTATCAGATTAGCCGTGTTTTTCGTGGCGATTCTTATTTCTCCACTGTGAGTAAGCTATGAAATCATACCGGGAGTAGTTGTTCGTTAGCTCACTTCTGCTCCAAGCCGCCACAATACAGAGAAGCAGAGGATCATAAGAAGAAGAGTTCCATTGATCTCACCTGGATCTGGACTACGCGGGTGGACGCTCGCTCGCTGCAGGCCTCTTGTCGTCGCTGCTGCTGCCTTGGCCCAACAGGTGTGGGCCAGTTAGCCAGAGGCTTCGTGTATATGTGTGCCGGCTAATGGACCCAGACTGGCCACACGTCCGAGGATCGCGGGAGTTGCTGACTACGCAGTCCAGTGCAATATAGTCAACAAATACAAGCCCAGGGTCACCGATATATATCGCGGTGGAGGTCAAGAGCAAAACTCTATCCATCGCATCTCTGCAAAGTGGTTGGCTAGATTTGTGGATGTATGTGTTCAGAGAGGATTGGCATAGCGGCCCCTCGGGACTCGTACGGGACTCGCCCACTTTGGACGATCTCTTCTCAGGTGGCGCAGTGGACTCACTCTCTTCCCGCCTTGGCTAGGACAAAAATGACTGCGCTTCGTGATTATATACAAAGTTACAGGTATGCTTCTACTCAATACTGATAACGAGTGCATCTCGGCTTGACCACGCTTTTGGACAGACCAGGACAGAGCGACGGCCGCACCCTGAGAGCCCTCTAAACTTGGATATCGAATTACACATCTCTCTCCTCGTCTGATGGATCCAAGTCGATATAACTGGACTCTCTCATTGCCGCCCGGGCGTGTTGCTGGTGCCGGTCGAGTGCATTCCTCAAGATTGAAATTCCTTCTTCGAATTCCTCAACGATGCTCGTATCCATGGCGAGTCCCAATGAGGTCCACAACTCGAGCGCTGCTTTGAGGGTCTGGCCTCCCTGTTCATAACGAGTCTACAGACCCTTTAGACCGTTTCGTCACTTGGAGCACATATAACTCACCTCGTCACCCATTTCTTCGCCTCCCGCTTTTCTAGATGACGATGATGCGATGGATGTAGACGAGGGTGCTCCGGACCAAGCGCCTTCTGTATCGAGCCACAAAAGGAACACCGGTCCCTCAACCCGAGCTCCTGTTATAGTGATATCATCAGACGAGGAGGTCGAAGAAATGGGTGACGAGGTGAGTTATATGTGCTCCAAGTGACGAAACGGTCTAAAGGGTCTGTAGACTCGTTATGAACAGGGAGGCCAGACCCTCAAAGCAGCGCTCGAGTTGTGGACCTCATTGGGACTCGCCATGGATACGAGCATCGTTGAGGAATTCGAAGAAGGAATTTCAATCTTGAGGAATGCACTCGACCGGCACCAGCAACACGCCCGGGCGGCAATGAGAGAGTCCAGTTATATCGACTTGGATCCATCAGACGAGGAGAGAGATGTGTAATTCGATATCCAAGTTTAGAGGGCTCTCAGGGTGCGGCCGTCGCTCTGTCCTGGTCTGTCCAAAAGCGTGGTCAAGCCGAGATGCACTCGTTATCAGTATTGAGTAGAAGCATACCTGTAACTTTGTATATAATCACGAAGCGCAGTCATTTTTGTCCTAGCCAAGGCGGGAAGAGAGTGAGTCCACTGCGCCACCTGAGAAGAGATCGTCCAAAGTGGGCGAGTCCCGTACGAGTCCCGAGGGGCCGCTATGCCAATCCTCTCTGAACACATACATCCACAAATCTAGCCAACCACTTTGCAGAGATGCGATGGATAGAGTTTTGCTCTTGACCTCCACCGCGATATATATCGGTGACCCTGGGCTTGTATTTGTTGACTATATTGCACTGGACTGCGTAGTCAGCAACTCCCGCGATCCTCGGACGTGTGGCCAGTCTGGGTCCATTAGCCGGCACACATATACACGAAGCCTCTGGCTAACTGGCCCACACCTGTTGGGCCAAGGCAGCAGCAGCGACGACAAGAGGCCTGCAGCGAGCGAGCGTCCACCCGCGTAGTCCAGATCCAGGTGAGATCAATGGAACTCTTCTTCTTATGATCCTCTGCTTCTCTGTATTGTGGCGGCTTGGAGCAGAAGTGAGCTAACGAACAACTACTCCCGGTATGATTTCATAGCTTACTCACAGTGGAGAAATAAGAATCGCCACGAAAAACACGGCTAATCTGATACCACAATCTACCTCACTCGTGATAAAATATATCACATATTCGAGACGATAGTCGCGCAGGTCGTCCGAGGAGATCTCCCGATTGCTTTGGTGAGTAGCAAGGCGCGTCGTCGTTTGCGTATCAGCTCCAAACGGGGACTTTTTGTTTGTGCACCAGACTTGTGGATGAGATACGCTCACCCTTACTTCATCGTCTAAATATACGACACTTTCGTCATCGACGCTCGCTCTCCACACGCTCAGTTCTGTTTTTGTCCTCTCCATAACCCGGGGTGCATGCGCGCCTGTGGGTGTGGCCTATTCCCCCCTTTTATTCTATAATCGCGGCCAAAACCATTCTCTTCCTCCCAACTCCATTCTCTCTAAAACCCTGCCTCGTGCGCAAAACGAGCTGACAAAAACCAAGTTATAGGAGCCCCTAATCCTATAGTCGCAAGATCCCTTTTTCCCAAATCGTCGAAGTGTCGGAAGGGAGGGCTTCAGGAAGGTGAGCCAAAGTGCAGCAACCTATTGGCTCCACGGGTCACTGCAATCCCCAGCTTTTTTTCTTGGCTCTTACAGTTTGAAATGTTTATTCGCTGATATACTTCTATTCCGGACTTTATAGATAGACGCTCTCTTTTTCCTGTGATTTGCCCACTCTATTCTGCCAGCTGTGCTCAGAGGTCTCACAGTCCTAAAGGACGACCCTTGTACGGTTCGGCTCACCTCCTCGTACTATACACCAGTGCATCGTCTATTTCTCACCTATTCTATCGGGGAGAGTGTGTGAGCTGAAGGCTACACTGGGCGGCAGTGATAGGCCACTCCACAAAGACGAGGGGCCAGTCCTCTTTCATTCTCCAACTACGACCTCCTAAATTCTAGATAAATAAAGCCGACTAATGGCTTCACGAATACGACAATCGAGCGGCCCAACATCGCACCAGCAACCGCCTCCTTCCTCCTACACGAACCTCAGCCCAACCGACCAGAACAACACACAGGGCAAGGATAATGCCAGCTCGACACGCTCGAATCGGTCCAGCACGTTCTCGCTCAAGGCTACACGAGGGATCAAACGGGTGTTTGGGATCCTCAAAGACAATAGCGAACCCACTCTCAACTCGCAACCTTCCTCACCTCTCGTCAATGGGCGAAAGAGCACGTCTATTCTACTTGGAGGGCGTGTGAGGAATAATAGCACAGTTAGCGCTGTTGCGTCCTTTAGACGAGATAGCGAGTCGACCGTGGTCGGAAGGGTGCCGAGCTCGATGCAAACGCCAACCAATAACAACAACAATAATAATAATGAACGACCGACCACCGGGGATCCCAATGCTGCTCTGAGAGGCAGTGGTGGTGGATTCTTTTACCGGTCCCGACATGCCCGTTCGATGGACGCGCTCAAGTTGTTTACAAAGTCAGGACTCAAAGTAGGGTCTCAACTATCACCTACGTCGATCAATTCGACGGGGGCTGCGATGGTGCAGACTGTGCAGACGGTTATTGTGGGTGTAAGACCGACGAGCCTCGAAAAGGATTCGGAGACGCCTGTGTTGAGTTTGGAAGTGGAGGAAGAGGAGGATGTGGATGGGAGGAATGGGAGCCGAGGGAGTTCGTTGCAGGATGGACTTCCTCTTCAGCGGTCGATACCTTTACCGTTGTCGGGACTAGGTGCTGAGAGAGTGATTGATGGTTTGCCGGAGAGCATACGGAGAAGTTTGGATTCGAGACCGATGCTTGCGGTTGAAGGCACAGGGGTTGGCGGTTTACCTCCAAAGGGTGCCAGAGGAGCCGTAGCCACACCACCTGTCGCTCTTACAACTACACCCAATTCTTCAGAGATCAACCCCACCCCACCAGCCAACAACACCCTACCTACGAATGAACCTCCTCTGTCTCTGCATCAACGTCGGTCTGAGAGTATCACGACATTATCCAACGACTCGCACGACTCGTCCAACTCTAACCATACTACCACAAACTCTACTATACGAACTCGCCCTCCCAAACCCAATCTTTCCATCCCCATTCCACCTCGTCTCACCAACGAAAACACACCCGTCATCACCTCGAGATCCAATTCTACTGGTGTTCCAACGGCTACCATGAATCCAACATCATCAAACATTCCCGCCTCCCCTACCCAAATGAAGTGTTCACCTTCCTCACCCCTCCAATCTGCTCATTTACGATCTGCTACCACTCCATCCCCATACACATCCAAAAGTAAATCACCACCCTCCCCTGGCCTTTCCCTACGTCTCACCCCTTCTATCGTTATGAGCCGTCCAATCTGGCCACTCCCCCCACTCCCCAATACAGACATTCCACCCGTCCCCTCCATTACCACATCCAAGCATTCACCTTCCAACAACTCGCCTCCCAGCGATTCGTCTCCTTCGGGTATCCGACAACGACTATCCGGCTTTTCAATGTCATCCCATACGCGCTCCGTAACGACACCTCCTGCTCCTACCCGTCGCGCCACTACAGACGGAAACGCAGACCGTGACGAGGGGAGTAGGATGAGGAGATCAATGTCTGTCAAGTTGAATGCCATGCCGAGTCTCAATGTTATGGGTGAGACGGAGACGGGTGATCCAGAAGCGGATGATTATGAAGACGGTGATGATGATGACGATGAAGATACCGATGAGGAAGAGATGCCGATGAGTCGGCCGTCTATTGACTCGGTGCTGTCCATGGATAGTATGGCGAGCATCGATACAGTTCGGCCTGAACCCTCGCCACCTACCGAGCCTCCGACTGCATCTACAAATGAAGATGTTGTGGTGGAGGCTGCACCCTCCAAAGACAAGGGCAAAGGCAAGGCTCGACGACGGAGTAAAGACGACGAGGGTGAACAAGAAGATGGAAGCGCGAGCGATTCAGACGACTCGGTATACTTTGACGCTCGTGGATCCGTTTTCCTCTCGCCCAAGGATGTCGCCAAAGCTTTGGAGAGGCGACATAGTCAGATGCAACCCATCCCCCGCCCTGTTCGCTCTTCTGAAGGTGGAGGTGTTGGAGCAGAGAGATCCAACGACGCTGATGCCGAACGGGAGAGGAGAAACTCATCCTGGAGCTTTAGTACGAATGGACGAGAAAGTATTTATCTCACCCCTATGGAGAGCGTTAGTCCCTGGCGAACCCCTGGATCATCTGCATTATTATCCCATCAAACTGACTTGTTGAACAATAATTCGGCATTTGCAAAAGAGTTGGCAAACAAGCGCTCGAGCGTACCTGCCGCCTTTGCGGCACCATTCGGAGCTGGAGCGAGTAATAGTGGAACCTCGAGTCGGAAAGAAATGCGGTTCAGCATGTCGAATGCATCTCAAGTAGGCGCCGATGGTCTGCCCAATATTGACATGTCGGGGCTCAACTTTGATCCTTCTATATTCAAGACGAGGACTCCTAGTAGTGATAATACACCTAAACGTACGAGCTTACGGTTCGCTAGCGCTAGTGACAAGGACGGCGTTGAACCTATCCCTCCTATCCCCGATGGCCTACCGCCCA